AGGAACCATGGTCTGAAGATCGCAGTTGCTAGGGTTTAACTTACTTAAACCCTGCGATACGCGACCAAAAATAGCCAGCGTATTCATTACTTCTAGTGAGTTTTTGCTGATGCCGTACTACTGCGCGAGTGCAAAATATCATACGAAAGCATAACTGTCCACGCAACTGTCTATGCTTCTATACTAACTTCTGGACTAATATGATGGAGTTTTTAATGTTGAAAATGGATTTTCCGCGTAAAGGTCTGTAAGTTAGAGGAAGACATCTAAAAATTACCTATTTAGCTGAAGGTTGCATCACTCTCATCAACTTTCGGTAGGCATTGTACAACTAGAAAAAAGGCGCTGCTGGACTGCAGATTTGTAAGACACGAGTAACTATGACCTTGAACTTACTGCTCAATGAAATATACTTGTCTCATCAATAGGGATTCATCGTAGGCCGCCTGAGGAAAGATACTAATAATAATAATAAATTACTTGCAACGTTTCAGTAAGTGGAATTTCCGCCTGTCCAAAACTTCCTTTACGATATTAATCAATTGGAGTTGTTCTAATAGTTTTCTTGATCTATAAGCTTCCTATTAGGTCGTTTTTGTCTTTTCCTCGACCTTTTCACCTACATTTTTAAGTACTTAAAAAAATTGCAAACGGCTTACTTTTCTTTCTTATTGTGCAGTTACCACGCACTTATACGGTCTCTGGGCTGCCCCACCCTTTAATCACTAAGTCCATAAGACATTTGAGCGAAGACTGTTGCCCCTGGACGTCTTTACGACAAATCCCCACTGTTTCACCATTTATTTAGCTACTGAGGGTTTTCGGTGTTATAAAGGTGGCTTCGCGAATGTTGTAACGGTAACATCAGCTTATACGGGAGTGTCAAGTGCGCGTTCGCCTGTAGCCTGATTGGCGCATTGGGATAACTGCGACCAGTAGCGTGCGCGAACAAGCGCGTGCATCTTGTCCGGTCTAAGATCATTGCTCGGACCCAGCTCAGCGAACGCATTGTGGCGGTCGGCGGCAGGCACCACGCCTTAGAAGAGCCGACAAGGTTGCTAGCCTTTGGTCAAGCCACCGTCCTGACACTCGGTTTTCTCTTAAGTTAGTTGTATGATCCTGCAGACCTGTGCGCCTGAAGCTGACCCATCAAAATATACTGTTTCATGTCCTTAGATAACAGGGGAGCGGAAGGTTGCCATCAAGCTTTACGATCAGAAGCGTCTCCTTCTCCTTTCTTTTCCTTTCTAGTCGATTTTATTTTCCATTAATCGGATGTGGACTATTTTCTGTCCCATTTTGTATAGTAAATTCCCACCAATTTATATCGCAGAAAGCAGATAAGAAGTCTTTTGAATATTGACGAATTCCAGCTTTTTGATAGGCAGTTCTTACTAGTAGCCAACGACAAGCTTTTTTGAAACAAGGCTGTGTGTGAATTCAAATTTAAAGTAGTCTTGCGCTTTTATTGGATGGAGAAAAATTGCCAAGTTCACGAACCATAATTTACGTTTTTCTCGAAGCTTCTGGTATCCATTTTGATTGACGAATAAAAAAATCAGCATACTTTTCGATTCTTAACGGCTGGATTCTGCGCGAAGTTTCGTGGATTTCACTTTTCGCAAAGGTTTTGGCATTATTAATGGTCTTCTGCGCATCATTGGAAGGATCAGTGATCCGAATCAAAACCTTAGTAGGGACTGCCATGCCGCATGCCGGTCAGTCAGCAAGTAATGCACACGAGGGCAATTAGCGGCTATTTTCGTTGTCATCGATATGCATTAATGACTGTATCCTATAAATACTGCAGGTTCCTGCGCATGTATCACCCACGTTTCTGCTACTGTTTTCTGCTGATGCCTCCGATTAAGAATCTGCGACGGACGTTGAGACGACAGGCGAATAAAATGTTTTCCTAGAGATACAATCTTCTTCTACTTCTTTATTTCTTCCTGCGACCTGCATGTTCTCCTGTATTGGTGAGTGCATGTGTTAAACTAAGGTTAGGGTTAAAAATAGGCTTTCGATTAGGGTTTGCGCTAGGATTAGGACACGATAATCAGTTACCCTTCCCGGAATTAAGCGCAAAACCGCCTGTATTATTTGATGTGGCGTCCATATTTCCCTGTCTTGCGGGGAGTGGCATAAAATATATGCCTATCACAGAATTCTGCATAACACCGGAGGCTGCTAACGTTTCACGCTGAAAGCCCACTGGCTGTAGAATTGTGTTTCATGGAGAATTAGGGAGATAATATAATTTACTTTCCTTTTAGCCTCTTTCATTTTTACTTAGAAACCGCTGTCACGTCAAGCCTACTATCTATGTTGTTCGAACTCAGTTGCATCGCACTTATTCCTACTGAGCTTTAGTAGAGGAGAATATCCGAGTTCCAGGAAGCAGTTCAGAAGATGAAGAAAAGGCAATCACTGGAATAAGAGGTTTATTGTCCTGACGTTTCGGATTTCCTCGGGAATCCGTAATCATAGGTAATAGTAGAACAGTGTGAGACATGCCTACGATGAAGGATTTCATAGGGAATCCGAAACTTCAGGATAATAAACCTCTTGTTCCAGTGATTGCTTCCTCTTCCTCTGAGCTTTAGTATTTATTCCGTATAAGATGGTTCCCCTTAAGCTCGGCTGAAATGTGTGAGGTAATTTTGTCCAGTAGACTAGGGGAACAACTTTTTGTGTTTGTTTTAGATCCTACTATCATGAGCGACTTGAATATCTATACCCAGAACAGCAATTGCGTTGAAACGACATTCTGAATTGAAAAGGAAGAGCTAGTTTCAGTCGACTTCACCGGACTTACTGATTATTGATGCGTCCGAAAAATCCCTCGGAATTGAGCGCATCAATCCGTTGTTGCACGAAATTTATGAAGTTGGAGGGCCCATACATGTAGAAGTTCATGTCGAAAAGGTTTTCAACTGGACTCAGCTGAAAGTTCAAGAAAAATCAATGACACTTTCTTCATAAGATGTAATCTGATAAGCTGATAGCTGAAAAATGCCCAAAGAAAATAACTTTCAGTTGGATAGAGTAAGCATCTTAATTTGCGGAAGGGAAAATAAAGCCCTGTTACGGACACTTCTTTCACGAGAATACATCCAACATTACGCCCACCTACCTTAGATACCTTCAAGGGATCTAGATAAAAGGTTCGGATCAGTGTACAAGTCAATCTTTTTGGTGAAATCTGGATCACTCGTCTAAACTCCTAGTCCATAGTAGTAGAAACAGCAGAAGTAGCAGTACCAAACTTAGTTTCTCTGAGTCTGTCTTGACACCTACTGGCAAGCTCGCACGCGTTCCCGACGCAAGCTGCCTCTTTGCCCAAAATCTCCAGGCCGACCTAGCCAATGAAAGCTCTCTCCCTGTCTTCTGGCCCGACTACTCTCAGACCTCACTTGGAACCCGGTCAACCTACTGAGCGGACTTGTCTCTCCCAAGTCAATCTACTCTCATCTACTCTCCTTTCCTTTGTGTACACAATACATTCTTCCAACTACTGTGGCCTTTATGGACTTCTCTTCAGCACTTAGTAACCATGGTCTGAAGATCGCAGTTGCCGGGTTTAACTCACTTAACCCCCTGCGATATTGGTGTTCTAGCCTGCATTGGAGAAAGCGGCCCACGCCCGATCCCGTTCGATCATCATGAATCTTCACCGGTTAAAACGCTTTGAGAGTTTAGAGTGAAATGACGGCTGCGCGTGTATTTCACTTAACTCTCGCTTCTGAATCCAGTCCTGAGCACATAGTGGACTTCACCAAAATCGATGGTCGAACTATCAAGTGTCCTGTACAGAATAAGTTAACAAGAAAAAGTGCTAGGAAGGAGCAGTCAAGTTTTACTTTGTTAGACACCTCTGATTAGTTTTCGCAGCCCAGCTACTAGTTGCCTTCCCATTTGTTGCATCGCAAATCGCACAAGCACAGTGTGCAGTAGATAGTGGGGCTGATTTGCAGCCGTTGTATCGCCTGAGAATCTAACCAACTTCAATGGAATAATTTGAGCCTGCAGCCAGAAAAATATGCACCTAGTACACCATTTCATGCACATTCGTTTTGAAGAAGTCGATTAGGTGTGGTGAAAAACGCACGGTCAGTGATCGATCTCGTGAGCTGTTAATCAAACTTTTGAAACCTTTCCTTGATTAAAAAAAAAGATAAATTAAGTGGGATTGTAATGCTTTTTGTCATGGATCATATTCCCAAGATATTTCGGACGTGCCAGGAAGACGGCGTCGCGGCCCTCTGCAAACAGCACAGTCGGTAAAAAAATGACAACCTAAGTCGTATGCATTTTTTCCTATTGAGTTTATTTTATTATTAAAAATTTTACAAATGCTTTATAGAAAACGTTAACAAAAATATTCTTCCTTTCACTCATTGAGTTGCAAAGCACATGTCGTTCAATCTGGTACCTGAAGGAAGGTCATATTTGGGTTTTTAAAAGGTTCTCTGATTTTTTTTATAGCCTTAGGCTCAATTGGCCGTTAGAGATTGAAGGTTTAAAGCCTACAAACGATAAGCTCTTCGTGTAAGGACTGTCAGTCATTCCCCTGGGTGTAAAGAAGACATCCCGCAGTGTTCATGAACTTTTGCAATTGATGTGGTCTAAGCTATTTAGTTCACGATGGACCTTAATAAAAGAATGGATATTGAAGGTGAAAATACGTTCTCTGGTACCAGTATTTTATTTGTCCGACGTTTCGGACTCTCGCTCGAGGCCATTGTCAAATGATAATAAACTGTACAGCTCACTGTGTATTGAACTCAAATCTGCCGGAACTGACCTTCAGCTCTGCTATCGATTTTTTTGCGCAACGCGAGATAGGCTGAAGGTCATTCCCGGCAGAATTGAGCTAAATACACGGTGAGCTGTACATTTTATTATTCCTTGACAATGGCCTCGAGTGAGAGTCCGAAACGTCAGATAAATGAAATACGGGTACCAGAGAACGTATTTTCACCTTCATTTCAATTACCTGGGCCTCTCATATTTTCGACTATTCAGAATGGATATTGTACAATTTAAAAAGTGTCTCAAGTAGACATTTCTAAAACCGAAATGTGCCAAGTCTTCGAATATAAAACTTGATGGAGAGATGGTCTGCTGTCAAAAGGGGTAGAAGAAAATATAGTGTTAGCTAAACTATTTTCCTTAGGGTATATTTTGATTTATAAGGGCATCGGAAATCAATAAAAATAAAAGCCTACTACGTAAGTCTTCATTTTATTTTATCGAGCGTAGATTTTCAAACGGCCAAAAAGACACGCATTCGAAAGCTGTCATCCGGCAAATTTGAAGCATTATAGATTTGTGTCGCACAGTGGCAGTCATTTTAACCGAACTTTGAGGATCTTTCTCCATGGAAAACGAATTTGCGAATTTTGGTTAACATTTTATGAGATAGGTCATTGAATGGACACTTTGTTGACCATAATAAGTACACGCATTTCTAAGCAGATTGAATAATTTAGATCCGGGATCACTCCTCGTGTTTGCATATATAAGGAGTTGAAGGAGAACATGGAAAGGACTGGCTTTTCTGCCTATCTTGTATGCGACGTTTGCTAATCTTAAGTGTGCCTTATCACGCACAAACTTTCAGAAGTCTATCAAATCAGTCGCCGAAAAAAATTGAAAAAAATGCTAAAAATAAAACGGCACTCAATCGGCAGGAACTAACAGGACGTCATAAGAGCTGTCATTTCAAAGCTAACTCAATCAAGGGGAATGTCTTTTGTGATGTTTTCCGTTGAACAAGAGGGTAATTTAGCTATCGCACAGAAGGCAAGCATTGACGGCTACCGCCAAAAGCACTTTACAACATAAGAGTAGCAATATTTGAGTATGAAAAGCGTACCCTTTTCAAGTAGCACTGCGTTTTCAGTAAATAGGAGCCTTCAAAATTGGTCAAAACTGCCACCCAATTTGAATCTGCCTGAACCCGTTGCGACAGTGAGCTCACACTGTCAGCGACCATTTCATTCGGCCAGGACGTCTGCGCAACAGTATACAGCTTCGCCAACACGCCTCCTTCCGAGGTCTAGGGGGGGGAGGAGGGGCAGAGAGGATGGAGAAAGAGAGAGAGACGGAGGGTCATATAAAATTTCGCATACCGTATTTAACAAAAAAATGCTCGTAAACTTGATAAAGCATTTTCATGTGCATAACCCAGGACAAAAAGCTTTCGTTGACGGAGCGCTCACCTGACCGCTAACGGAATTCATTTTTCCCTTAAGGCCGTGGGACTCGACAGAGGACCTGACAGCCGTAGCACTTGGTTTTAGTAGGCAGACAATATTGCCAGCAAATGCAAGGGAAACTAAAATTCCCATTTCTGGCTTGTTAGGGTTAGGACGTTTGACTTTGATCAAAAAGGTTGCGAGTTCGAGGCTCGACTGGGGCACTAATTGCGTCTGGGTATAACTGGCTGATGACGCCTAATAAGCCAAAAGCGGCCATT